TGCATACACACACAAACCTTTGGCCTTGTGAGTCCAGGCTGCATCTGAGTGACTGTCCCTCAAGAGTACCTCATCCCTCTGGCCTCTACACACGGCGTGACTGTTGCACATTAACTGGCCCTGTATGCTAGGTATGCGTGCATTTCCATGCGCTCGCGGATGGAGGAGGGAGACGCGCGCTGCTGACTTTGCCTGGCGGAGCCTCGAATTGCAGGGACGACGGCTATCGGGAGAGGGGGACCTCGACGGGTCAGACAGAGATAGAAACAGGAGGACATCACGTGCTCCCCAAGTAGGCTGCGGGCTGATGTTCCTGGCGCTGGAGTCCAAAGAGCCTTTGGCATTTGGCAGATGACTGGAGCTTCTTGGGCTTGAAGAGTTCTTAGGTGTTTAGTCATGCAATGCTGGTAATTCCCAAAAGTGCAGCTGGTAAAAAAGAGTCCAGAAACAGATCTCCCCGGCTAAACAAATGGCCCGCCACTGCTCCGTAATAGGCTGCTGACACTGCAGAAAGATTCCGGGTGCTTCCGGAGGAGTCTATCACGGGGCGGTCCGTCAGGGAAAGCTTTGGGGGGGGGCGATCAGGTGTTCTCACTTTTCACTTGTGACACCCTGGGAAAAACTGGGTGGCCTTCTGAAAGCAGGCGGCCCTTCTTTAGCGACTGTTAGCAGCTTGTTTTGCCATTGAGAGAGTGCAGTGGTATCAAATATACATGAAATACGAAATAATAATTTATTAAACTTGCATGCCGGCTGACTCTCAACGACTCTGGGGGCTCACGACAATCGAACAACACCAATTGCAGTAAAATCAATAACAGATAAGGATAAAAGATGGCAAGTGCTGAGAAGCAGGGGTCTCACTCTCACTCATTCTCACTCACAGAGGCCTGGGTGAATTGTTGCACTTCCTTCATCTCTTTGTCCCAGAAGTAGCAATGTGTTTCTTTTTTTCTCTTCGCACCACCAAGTACATAAAAACCACTGCAGTGTTATTCAAGCTACCCAGGGAAGATTTCACTATGAACCGAACACTGGTACTAAAGCCAATGGTGGCTTTAATACCAGTGTTCGGTACATAGTGAAACCTTCTTTGGATGGCACAAAATGTAAATTATTATATTATAATATGTGGAGAGGCAGGATAGAGCTATGCGCTCTAGGGTTATGTGCTCAATCAGAAAAGGAGAGTTTCTGATTGGTGCAGGTTGGTGGGGGTTGGTCTCTCGGCTTGGCTAAAGACCAGTCAGAAGTCAGGACACCTGAGCATAAAGACAGGAGCCCAGTCAGTCTCTCCTCATTTGCCTGAAGTCTGCATAGCAGACTATCTTACTTCTGAACATGCCAGCCATGATTGCTGGCGAAATATCAAGAAATCTGTTGTGTAAACCAAGGTCACTAAAACCTGAAACCCAATGTTGCCCAACAGATAACGGCTGTGAAAGCCTACCCCAGTAAATTAATGCTTTAGTTTTCTACAGTGATAAAAGTTGCCACAATTTACCCTCCTTTTCATTCTGGCTACAGACATACCCTTGGTACAATGTGCTGTAATTTATCTAATTAATTGCTTAATTCCATTATATTCCATTTTAAAACTGTCTAATCATTTCCATTGTTTGGGAAATGTAAAAATACATTAAAAATATAAGACAAAAAGCAATAACAATGTAGCATGGTACAGATAAAGACCATTCTCAGTCAAGATGGTCTTCTGGCCAAGAAATTATGGGATGTTAATTTCAACACATCTGTAGAGCCCCAAGGTAGAGAAGGCTGTCCTAGTTAAAACAGATAAAACAACAACAGCTTCAGAGATAAAGCCAAACTGCCTGATCAGTACTGGTATCACAGCTCTCAGCAAGCATGTCATATTCAGTAGCCCACCAAGATATTGTTCTTAAGGGTGGAACAAGAGATCCCCCACATCAAAGGTCAAGTCATCTTGTTCAAGGTGGCCCATACTGTACTTTTTAAAACTGATGTCCCTTTCTTCAAGCTGCTGCAGCAGTCTGTGAACATTCTCAAAATTCATATTTTTCCTCATGTTTATTTCATGATTGTCACCAGAGCCCAGGCTGAAGGCTTCTCATGATTGCTGTTTGGCTATATTGAACTTAAAGGATTGGACTGTCTGTATTTCTGATACAGATGCAGGTCTACGAAGATGGGATGTCAGCATGGGTGGAAATACACTTAAATAATCTGCAGCCCGTGAGCCACATGCAGCCCACAGAGCTTTTCTCATGGCCCAGCTGCCACCATTAAGTTGTCTCTGGTGCAGCTCAACCAAACAAAAGGCCATGAAGCAGAATTACAGTGAGGAGGAAGGTGCCAAAAGAGACCTTCCCCACATGCCAGCTAAACAGTGAATTGGGTACAGCATGTTTCAGCACATTGCAATAATATTTGTGTGTTTTCTATCCTATTTAAATGACATCCTTCTCATCATTGCTCAGTTGTTTGGTTCTGAGAGAAGATATGAGTGTGTACAGAGGAAAGATTTTAAATCTGTTCCCCTACACTGTTGGGGGAAGAAGGAATAACTGACTGAGAGAACGTGTATGTACATGTGTGCACAGCACAGCACAGAGCATTTGGAGTCAAATAATTTGCCCACATCTGGATCGTGAACATTGATTAGCTAGCATTTTATGGGTTTGGGGATGTACTGGATAGAGAAACAGCTTGATCTATCCCATGCTCCTGATTGCATGCTATAGAATTAGTCTACAAGCTTGGGAAAACACTGCCATATGGACACAGTACCTACATGGGACCACATTGCTTTGACATAATTAGGCACTACACTACAACTCCTTAAACCTCTATCTGTTTTGTTCCTTAATTTGACCAGCTGGCCTTGTAGCAATCTTCCTGGAAAATATGTGCAAATGATACTGTATAACACTCACCTCCACTAATATTGGACTTCAGCTCCCAGAATGCACCAGCCCATTGCCATGAATGGTGGCTGGGCGATTTTGAAGGTTGACCTCCAACACATCTGTAGGGCACCAAATTGGGGAAAGCTGATTTAGTTCATTGTGGATTTCCATGAGGAGACTTTACATTTCACAGTCAGGTTGAAGTCATTGATTTTCTTGCTAACTTTATGGTGTACTCCACCCTGTTTCTTATCTCTACTGTTTGGAGAAAGTATGCATAAGAAACACAGATCAGAATTAGCAGAATCCATTGCATTAGGCAAGTAGCAGATATGTTATTTAGACATTGGACATTGGACATTGCCTAAAGTTTTATCATGTTTAATGAGGAAGAAGATGGGCATGTTCCTATTTACTTAGAAAAGCTAAGCATGAACTATTGTCTCATGTGAGATTTTAACCTAAAAAAAAGTTCAGCAAACTCATCTAAATGTAAACAGAGAGCCATAATGACAAGAGGAACAACAGATGATTAATTATTACTGGCAAAGACTTTCTTTTTGGAACCTAGGTCAAGTTCCTTTCAAACAATGGAAGATTCATAATGGCACTTGACAGATCACAGCCAGCTTGCCTGGATTGCAAAACTGGCAGAAAGTCTGGTTATTCTTTTCTGATACCAATCTGGCTTTCATAGATACCAACGTTTCTCTTATGAAAAGGTAAAGAAACATTTCATCATAGGAGTTAAAGGAGTGACACCTAATAGGGACTGTTCCAGTTCCAAACTGATAATATTCCTAAGAAGCCTCATATCCTGAAGACAGTCATAGCCACATTCACCTGAAACCGCTTACATCCTCTGTATAATCCCCCCCCCTTCTTATGAACTCTTTGTCTGTTTGTGAGAGAAAGGTTCAAATATACTTTAAATGTTTTGTAGGAAAATGTTCAAAGAAAATGGCATCAGTTTTTCGAAGATCTGAGATCCACCTTTAACCTCGATGTGCAACTGAAAGCCAGCTTGGAATGTTTAACATGCATCTCAAACTTTTCCTTTTCCTGTTTCCCATGTTCATCTATTCTCTATTCCACCCCCCACCCCTGTATTTTTGCTTCCTTCTGTTGCAGTCTCTTCCTCTAAGACTGAGCTATGTTTTGTGAATTGAAGACTAAATAATGAGCCACTTCAAGAAAACACATAACTTGCTTACAGTGGATTTATGAAAAATTCCACTGGTCTTTTGATCTTGAAAACACTGATAGCATTAGTTTACCTGCTGAAGTGCCAACTCCGATAACAATATAATACGGCTGGATGTTTCGTTTTGTGGAATCACTGGGACTGTTCTTGGAACCTGGGTCCAGTTTAGCCGGCTTTAAGTAGGTTGTAACATTTCAGTAAAGGCAAAATGTGAAGGTAATTTGCAAGGAACTGAACAGGATTTTAGAAATCTCTGTTGCAACTTATGCTATATAATTGTAAGTATCAGTGTCTTAATTGTACTTGCTATGTTGTACCATAATTATGAGAGCTGAAACTAGTGCTTTAGCAAGATTGACTCTAGTCTTCCATATACAGCTTTTCAAATACATCACTTATTTATGCAACATTTTGGAGAATGCAAACATCTTGCATTTTTTATGTCATTTACTTATTTGTTATTGTTTCCTTACTACCCAGTCTGAACTACAATCAAGGAAGAATTTCATTTGGATATGGATTTTGTGTTACTGAAGAAACACAATGAGACACATATTTAAAACTGATAGTAAAAAGGAAAATTGAACCAGGGATCCCTCCCCAAAAGAGAATAAAACTTGGTATACGTATGCATGGGAATATGTGAGCATATACATATAACTGATTCAGGGAAAGCTGTATTTCAGTTTTCCATGTTTTGCAGAAACAAACCTGCCAGTTTAACAGCATGAGCATTCACCTGTTGCATCAGTTTATCTGCTTTGTGAACTATGGATAATTTACTGACCACAGGATTAATTGTGAAAGATAGTTGAGTGATTTTTGCAATTTCTTTTAAAAACATTGACAAAAAGCCTTACAAACTGTGTAGCGGTTAAGGTGCTGCCCTAGAAACCAGGAGATTGGCCTCCCTTAGGCATGAAAGCCGTCTGGGTGACTTTGGGCCAGTCACTCTCTCTCAGACCAACCTACCTCACAAGGTGGTTGTTGTGGGGAAAATAAGAGACCGGAGTATTAGATATGTTCACTGCTTTGTTAATATAAAAAAGGTGGGATAAAAATATAACAACAACAATAATAATACCAATTTGTTTACAGTGTTATGGTCTAGAAAGATTAAAATTTATGTGATGTAATTTTAGTGTTGAATGAAGTTACTTCTATTAATCATTTTTATAGTAATCTCTTGATGATTTGCTGAAACAGATGGAGCAGAAATTCTATGCCATAAAGAGTTCCATTAGGATTCATCAAGTTCCAATCTGAAAAAAAAGTATTCCAGAATTTTTAAAGATTTTCAAGTTAAACTACCATGCTTAATGTAAGAGTTTGGTTTAAATTAACAATACTTCCTTGCTGTTAAATTAAGTAGATATACATCAAAATGGTGTATATC